GTTAGCTTTGCCTAATGATTTTGTGTAATACTTCATTTAACTGTTTTATAACTTGTCTGGGGAAATGGGAGATTTCTCTAGAAATGCCCTATAAGAGAAACATATTTTCTAATAATATTTTAGTTATAGCATTGGCCTTTTTGTATAGGAAAGCTTCTATACAACCAGAAAGCACGCGTTGAAAGTGGCAATTGAATGAACTTCAACTGTAAGTGTTCAAATGATACATCAAGTGCCAGAAATGTAAAATCTAAGGTTTTTATTGTCTTATCAGAATTATAGGCATGGCAAACGAAATATGATTATAAACCATTTTAGCAACCTTACTAAGTCATCCCACTACTATATTTTTATAATTTGGAAAATTTTATTTCTTCTATGATGAGCCATGGAGTGCAGAGCTTTTTTCTTTCTTTCTTTTTTTTTTTAAATACTGGAAGCTTTAAGGGTCCAAGAAGGACTAGGTGGCCATCTAGATTCTTTATGAGTGCATGTTAAACACTAAATTTACATCCTTTTAAATACCAATTTTGTTTCTCGAATTCTGGTGCATAACATTATTTATTAAATAATTTGTCATAGGTAATTTGACTTGGATCAATCTTATGGAGTTCATTCAAATTGTGTATCTTAAGAGTATCTCAAGATACATAATTGTAGAAAAATCTTAGCTTCTTTTTTTTTCTTGAGTTGGAGTCTCACTCCATCGTCCAGGCTGGAGTGCAGTGGCATACTCATGGCCACCCCAGCTTTATCTCTCTGGGCTCCGGTGATCCTTCCGTCTCAGCCTTCCAAGTAGGTGGAACTAAAGACATGCTACCATGCCTGGTTAATTCTGGCTAATTTTTGATTTTTGATTGTAGAGATGAGGTCTTGCCAAGTTACCTGGGCTGGGCTCGAACCCGTGGGCTCAGGCAACCCACTCGCCTTGGCCTTGCAAAGTACTGGGACTACAGGTTGAGCCACCGAGCCCGGTCACCCTTAGTTTCTTTAACAGAGAGGATGCAGATTTTTAAAAAGTGACCAAAATGCTAATAAAGACAATGGGAAGCACAGCAAATTATCCTGGTAAAGCATCGAATCTTTATATTCTAGACCAATTACCTAATAGGCAAATAAAAACCTTTCACAATTTTCTACTAAAAGTAGACACATATTCGAGGAAAACATTGTTGTTTTAGCAGAGAGGCCCAAATTATAGTTTTGCATCAGTGTACTTATGATATTAATGTTCAATTTTTTTTTTTTTGAGTTGGAGTCTCACTCTGTCGCCCAGACTGGAGTGCAGTGGCCGCTCCCAGCCACCGCAGCCTCTACCTGCTGGGCTCTGGTGATCCTTCCGCCTCAGCCTTCCAAGTAGCCAGAATTACAGGCGTGCGCTACCACGCACGGCTAATTTTTTGATTTTTAGTGTAGAGATGAGGTCTCGCCTGCCCAGGCGGGTCTCGAACCCGCAGGCTCAGGCAATCCACTAACCTCAGCCTCCCAAAGGCACGGGATTACAGGCTGAGCCACCGAGTCTGGCTAATGTTCAATTTTTAGAAAAACTTATACATAATTTTCTACTAATTATCATCTGCTTAACCACACATAAAATTTTCTTATGAGATTCATCTCCCACAAGACTTCTAAATTTTTTTTCACCCATTCAGTTTTTGTCCTGTGCTTTTTCTCTCTTCTTATTTTGAAACAAGCAGTCATCCTACCTAATGACAAAAATTACTCTTTTCTCCTTTCAAAATAAGATAAAACAAAACATTCTTATAACTTAGAGCTTTTTATTATAAAAAGCACATCTTAACTTCTTTGTATATTTGCATGTAGAGTGGTTTCTCTTATTACTTCTAGTAATTTTAGTTACATATACTAATTAGAATTCATAATCCTTAGTGATCCTAATTTACAGTGACTACTAGGTAACAAGCAATTGTGAACTGTCACACCAGCAATCTGTAGACAAGCAAATCCATGAATCACAATTTCTGGAAGCATATGCTTTCTCATAGTACGGTTTTTCAGTGTGTCACAGAACATGTTTACTAACAGTCTTAAATATCTTCAGTCTCTCTGTAATAAGAAACTGTAGAGGAGATAAAATTTTATCTCTATCCTCTTGTGTCTTTTTTGTTTGTTTGTTTTTTGGCAAGGCCTGAGAATTAAATTGTTTGTAGAGGTTTTCTTTAGCCTTAACTTGTCATTCTTGATGATAAGAATGTTAAACTTTCTAGTATATGAAGACATCTTTGACATGGAAATTGTATCTTGTTTATATCTATTTAATGCATATAAATTTTAATAATGATGCTTAGATTTCTCAGGAAGATGAGACATTAAACAACTGGTCATCATCTTCCTTTTTTTTTGGCCTGACAAATTTTGCAATATAGAGATAACATAAGCATATTTTGCCAGTAAACCTAGGTAAGAAAAGTTGCGCATATATATTACATTTAATGTTGAAAACTCTGAAAACACATTTATTTTAATCAGACCAATAATATTCTTATTTTTAAAAAGGCTACACAATCACATGAACTTGAAAAACATTTGAGTTTTTTTTTGTTTTTCTCAGAGAATATCTACATAAGCATTTATGTCTCTAAGTCAATTAAATGGAACTTTTTCACAATTTTATTTTAATAATTTCATAAGGAGATAGAGAAATATCACACATACCTAACATATATACATAAACATGTAGACAGAAACAGTTTGTCTAGCTTTTGTTCTAAAATTTCAGCCACGTGCCAGGTACAATATTATAGGCTCATTAATTTATTAAATAATATCTGCATCCACATTGTTTTTCTTGACAATGATACAAAATTTCTTGCCCGAGTGTCTAAAGATTTTGACCAATATTTGTGAGAGGACTTTTAACATTTTAAAATTTCCTTCTTGAAAAGAAGATTTTAAAGGGTATTTGATTCATTTAATCTTTTAGATTCCTGTGCATAACAGTTAAAGAATATGTCTCATTCTGTGGGATTTGGGGTCTTTTCTTTTCTAATGTACTTTGCAAATAACATATTTATTGAAGTTAAAATTTCCCCTGTGTGGCCACTGTAATTCTAAATTGTCTTCAGTAAAGTTAACTTTTGACCAAATCTTTCCAAAAATACAGATGCCGCCCCCCCATCATAGAATTGCCCCGTGTCACTAAAAGTGGATTTACAGATTCCGGAAGTTCTAGACTCTTTAGATTTGAGAAGATGGTCTGGTTGTCCCTCTCTGTAACAGCAGCAATCAGGGAAGTAGTCAAAATTTATTCCATAGTGTATTAGGCACAGTGGCACATTCAGGGAAATAAACTGCAGCCACCGTCCTTGAGGTGTGACAATCTGGTTGGAGAGATAGAATAAATATACAAAGATTAATTACATAACAACTAAGTGCTTACCCAGGTGGAACACAAGTGAAGAAATAGGAGTCTTAAGGTCATTCCAGGGTTCAGACTGGGGGATGGTGGCTCATGCCTGTAATCCCAGCACTTTGGGAGGTTGAAGCAGGAGAATTGCTTGAGGCCAGGAGTTTGAGGCTCCAGTGAGCTATGATCATGCCACTGCACTCCAGCCTGGGCAACAGAGCAAGACCCTGTCTCAAAAAAAAATCACAAAACCCCCACAAAAAGCAATTATTTGAGGGTCCTGAGAGTTCATTTAAGAGACAGGACTTGAACTGATTCTTGAAGATGAAATCCAGTGAGATAAGCAGGTAGAAGACATTTCTGAGGGGTGTTGGGGAAAGAATGAACAAGGAGTAGATCAATGTGAATGAGAGAGTATGATATGAAGAGGAGAGGAGGCAGGTACTGAATTATGGTAGAAAGAATGAGAAACTGACTACACTGAAGCCACAGGCAAGGGAGCAGTAAGAAAGAAAGCGGAGCTGGACTCGGTGGCTCAGTCTGTAATCCCGCGCCTTGGGAGGCTGAGGTGAGTGAATTCCTGAGCCCGCGGGTTCGAGACCCGCCTGGGCAACTTGGCGAGACCTCATCGCTACAATAAATCAAAAATCAGCCGGGCGTGGTAGTGCATGGTAGTTCCAGCTACTTGGAAGGCTGAGGCGGAAAGATTGCCAGAGCCCAGCAGGTCGAGGCTGCGGTGGCTGGGAGCGGCCACTGCACTCCAGTCTGGGCGACAGAGTGAGACTCCAACTCAGAAAAAAAAAAAAAGAAAGAAAGAAAGCGGTCTGCCTGGGCTGGCAAGATGATCAATGACTTTGAAAGCAGGATTAGAAGGCTCTGAAAGCCAAGCGCTGGTGAGCATCATTGATGGTCCCCAGAAACTCCCAGAATGAATTTCTTGGGCACATGGTGTGTGAGACTTCCAGGCTGATTCAAATACAGATGCTGACAGCCACGGCAGCTTGGTAAGGTCCAGTTCAATTCCAAACAACCTGACTGACAGGCCTGGGGCTTGCTAATGTCTGCCTCGGAATACTCTCTGGAGAGGGATTGCTGGATTGCAATTTTTATTTCTCTGAGAAATCTCCAGCAACATGGATGCAGCTGGAGACCATTATATGAAGTGAACTATCACAGAAACAAAGAACTGAATACTGCATGTTCTCACTCATAAGTGGGTCCTGATCACTGGTGACATGAGCAGAAGGGTGGGATCAGCAGATGGTGGATACTGCTAGGGGAGTGTCTCAAGCCTCACAAGTAGCTGGGACTACAGGGAGGAGGGATGGGGACATGCAGCAATACACTGGGTATCAGGTCCACTATCAGTGGGAAAGAGGGCCCGTAGAAATTCAAACCTCACCTGCAGCTTACTTAAGTAGTATATCCTCAGAACTCTAAAATAAAAAAAGAAACAAAACCATCTTTTATGAGAGAGAGAGAGAGAGAGAGAGCGCTCTCTAGAGGCTGCACATTTGGATTTTAAAATCAAATTTCTAGCTTTAGTTATACTTTCATAATAATTTACAATTTCTAATCAAATTCACAAACTTATATATTAAGGTGCTGCTGCCCCTTTTTGGAATTAGTCCAATTTTTTTTTTTGGACACAGAATAATAAACGGCTTTATTACATGAGCTAGGGAAGAGGACTTATTTGCCTTTCCAGGCCTTGATTTTCCTCAGATAGAACTCCAGCTCCTTGCCTTCTAGCACATAGCCATCTGCTCGACCACACTGGCCTGGTCTTGATGCAATGCAAGCAAGAAGTTTGCCCTGCTGGAACTGCTCCTCCAGAAGACTGCTGATTTGGGCATTCTTTTTCCTTTCATCATATTTCTTCTGAATTTTGGGGGATCGTTTTTTGTTTAAAATCTCTTCCTCCTCAGGAGCCAGCTTGGCCCCCTTCTTGCGACCCAGGGGCAGCGCATAGTGGGACTCAAACCACTGTCGGTATGGTGTGCTGTCAATGAGCACAATACAGTTCTTCACTAGGGTTTTAGTACGGACCAACTCGTTATTGGAAGCATTGTAGACAACATCGATGACCCTTGTTTTGCAAATTCAACACTCAGAGCCCCAGGAAAAGTTGCCCACGTCCAGTCTCAGGGCACGGTATTTCTTGTTACCTCCCCGCACTTGGACCATGTGGATGCGGCGGGGGCCAATCTTGGTGTTGGCAGCGGGGTGTCCCAGCTCATACTTCCGCTTCTTGTGGTAGGGCTTTCTCTTGCCCCCAGTCTTGCGGCGCTTGTGCCAGTTGTCCCGAGAGATCCTCATCGCTCAGCACTGGCTGGAAAGAGAAAATGAAAGGCCTCATGGTCCGGTTTGTAAAATGCTGTCCCTAGTCCAATATATTTTTTTAAAAAAATCATTGACAGAAAACATTTGCTATTGAAGTGATCTCATGTCATCTTTTGATGAGAATGTGGAGTTTTTTAGCTTTAAAATTCGATTTTTTTTCTTTTGGCTGATCTGTTTGTGTGGTTCTTTTGTTGAGTTCTCTACATTGTATCAGAGGATCTGAGTTTAGACATTTTTGAGTCTCCCTTCTTTATTGTAGCAAAGAGAGGGCGTAGGGCAAGTTATTTGAGATTTTTTAAAGATTATAGGTGGATCATCCCTTGATTAGTGTCAATGCAAGAACAGCATCCATTCCTCATTATGGGGTCCCTTAGATACCCAGCCGTTCCCTTAGGAAGACTTTCCTGATTCCAAGGCCCCTGCCATATGCTCTTATGTACCGTACCGCTTGCCTATCTATGTTTAGCTGATATCCAAAACTACACTACATTTATCTGTGATCCTGTGGTTAAGATCTCCATCAGCGTCAGACAAGGAAGGTCTGTGAGGGTCCACTCAGAGCACAGTGCTGAATATGGTGCCTGGCGCACAGTAGGTGCTCAGTAAAATAGGTGTCCATGAGTGAGTGGTGGAGTCATTGAACGGAAGCTCTGAGTCTGGCTGGGCAGGACTGGCAGTTGGCCAGGGCCAGCAAAGGGCTGCCTAGTTCCAGGGACCACAGATCTGGTGACCTCCTCTCCCCACAAACAGTTTTATCACATAGGTGGAGGCCCCAAGTGCATATTCTTTTCTTTTCATAGTTTTCCACGTGTCATAAGGGTACCATCCTGTCATGTAAACTCCTGGACTTTCTCACTCAGCATCATGTGGCTAAGATGTATCTCTGTTGTCACAGGAGTTTACTAGGTCTCATTTCCAACTACTCTGTGGGCGAGGTAAGGTGCTACTCTGTCTTAGAGGTAAGGGCGGTGGCACTCAGCATGGGGAAAGCTCTTGCCCACGGGCACACAGCTGGTCTCTGTCTCCAAAGCCCTCCTCGACCGAAGTCGCTTAACAATTTAAGGGATCAGCTGGCCTCGGTGGCTCAGGCTGTAATCCCGCACCTTGGGAGACTGAGCTTAACAATTTGGGGGATCAGCTGGGCTCGGTGGCTCAGCCTTGGAAGACTGAGGTAAGTGGGTTGCCTGAGCCCGCGGGTTCGAGACTTGCCTGGGCAACTTGGTGAGCCCTCATCTTTACAATGAATCAAAAGTAGCCGGGCGTGGTAGCATGCACCTGTAGTTCCAGCTACTTGGAAGGCTGAGGCGGAAGGATCGCCTGAGCCCAGCAGGTTGATGTGGCGGTGATCATGAGTGTGCCACTGCACTCCAGTCTGGGCGACAGAGTGAGACTCCAACTCAAAAAAAAAAAAATTGGGGAGATCACTAAATCATCTGAGAATCTGATTAAAGCAGCTGTGGGTCCCTCTTCCCCAAACTCATGGGTCCTCTAGGATCCTCTAGGTATCCATGACTTTCCATGATGATTGCAACTTTCGGGGTAGGGAGGAAAAAGGAGGACATGGGCATGTGTGTATCGAGATGGAAAGGCTGGAGAGAGTGGCGCTGTTCTTTATTTTTATATTTATTTTCTCATTTACGTATTTATTTTTGAGTCAGAGACTCACTCTGTTGCTCAAGCTGGAGTGCAGTGGCATGAACATGGCTCACCACAGCCTCGACCTCCTGGGCTCAGGGTCTCAGGGAATCCTTCTGCCTCAACCACACAGGTAGCTGGGACTACAGGCGCACACCACCATGGCTGGTTAATTTATTTGTATTTGTAGAGACAAGGTCTCACTATGTTGTCCAGGCTGGCCTTGAACTCCTGGGCTCAAGTGATCCTCCTGCCTCAACCTCTCAAGTTGCTGGGATTACAGGCATGAGGTACCGTGCTGGCCTGATGCTGTTCTTTCTCCATTCTTCCAAAAGTTTCCAGATCCTTTTGGAGTCAGAAAGATGTGGGCTCGTGTCCCACATTCAACACTTCTGCATTGAGCTGCAGTTTTCTCTTGTCAGTTGAGATGGTGATAATGACAGTGTATGTCCCTAAGGTTGTTGTGAGGATTAAATGGGATATTGCCTAGAGCTGCTGTATAATAATGGCAACTACCTCAACACACTCATTTATCTATTCACTAATTCAATAACAATTAACTGGGAATGTCCTATGTGCTGGGGAATATCCTAGGAATTGATGATGTGGTGTCTTGAACAAGGCATACACGGTCACTGTGCTTATGGATACACCACTGGTAGAGACAGATAAACAAAAGAAAAACATAAGGACATGTTAGGCAGACAAGAACTCTGATTAAAATAAAGCAGGATGAAATTTCAGACAGTGATGGGAGCTACTTCAGACTGAGAGGTTAGGGAAAGACTCCATCTTGCTTTGTTTCTGAGCAGGAACACACAAAGATTCAGGCATTGTTGCAAGAACGCCAAAGCAGGGAAAAGCTTGGGGGATAATGCAGAGGCTGTATCAGAGGCAGTCAAGGAGTGAGTGGGAGTCAGAGAGTAATGGGGCCACGTCATGTAGAGTCATGTGGACCATAGCGGAAACATCACATCTTGTCCTCAGCAAAGTGGGAGCTTTGGAGGCCTTGCTGAGTGGTAGGGCTGTTAACCAATTTACAATGTAATAGGATTAACTCTGACTTAGGATAGAAGTGAAATAATGGAAAAAAGTCTAAGAATGATGGAAGCAGGGAGACCAGTGAAGGGGCTTTGCAGAGATCAATGTGGGACCTTTTTTTTATTTTTATTTTTATTTTTTGTTTTTGAGTTGGAGTCTCACTCTGTCATCCAGACTGGAGTACATGGCCGCTCCCGGCCACCGCAGCCTCGACCTGCTGGGCTCCGGCGATCCTTCCACCTCAGCCTTCCAAGTAGCCGATAATGTTTTGATTTATTGTAGAGATGAGGTCTCACCTGCCCAGGAGGGTCTCGAACTCGCGGCCTCAGGCAATCCACTCACCTCAGCCTCCCAAAGGCGCGGGATTACAGGCTGAGCCACCTTCAAATAGGGTGTCATTCTTTGAGCTCACAAATTCTTTTTTCTGCTAGATCAGTTCTGCCTCTGAGGCTCCCCGATGTATTTTTCAGGGCAGTCAATGTATTTCTCAGTTCCAGAATTCCTCTTTGATTTTTTTTTTTTTTTGAGTTGAAGTCTCACTCTGTCGCCCAGACTGGAATGCAGTGGCTGCTCACGGCCACCGCAGCCTTGACCTGCTGGGCTCTGACAATCCTTCTGCCTCAGCCTTCCGAGTAGCTGGAATTACAGGCATGCGCTACCACGCCAGGCTGATTTTTTAATTTATGGTAGAGATGAGGTCTCGCCAAGTGGCCCAGGCGGGTCTCAAACCCGCGGGTTCAGGCAATCCACTCACCTCAGCCTCCCAAACCCGGGATTACAGGCTGAGCCACCGAGCCCGGCTCTCTGATTTTTTAAAAATTATTTTTAAAAATTTTTATTAGATTTCTGAATTGTTTTTCTGTGTAATTTGGGAGCTAGCTGAGTTTCCACAAAGCTTATTTGAATTATTGATCTGAGAGTTCACATGCTGTTGTCTCATTAAAGTAATTCAGTGGCTCCTTGTTTTGTTCATTTGGGGAGTTCATAATTCCCTTTTTGCTCTTGTTTCTTATGGATGTACTCTTATGTCTTCACGCTGAAGGATTATTTATTTTAGTCTTCACTGCCTGACTTGGTTTGGTTTTCCTGGAGCATCTCTGTTTAGAGTTTCTGGGCAGTTTGCTTGAGTTCCCTTAGCCCTAGGTTACTGCCTTGTTTTAGGCATTAGAAGGCACTCTAAGCCCAAGTTTGCCATGTCTTTGGCAACAGTCCAGGGCACTGCCTATACTGCTGCAACAGTCCAAAAGTTAATATCCTGGCTATGTGGGAAGGCTGGCTAGGAGTATGCCCATGGACTGTGTCCCCTCCAGCAGCGTGGTGCTGTGGAAATGCTCTTTGATGTGGAGTCTTTTGTGGCTGAGATGAAGACCAGCCTCAAGTTTCCTGAGCTGTGGTTGCTAGCCTCAACTCTAGTGTTTGTCTCTAGATACCCTAAATATTTTGTCTTCCTGCAGGCACTTATGATGCTTCCTGTGGGTTGAGGCAGGAATGGCGTTTCTGTGAAGAAACCAAAGATATAGGGAAGCTGTAAGTCTGACTCAATGTCACTTTTTTCAGTGGAAACTGAGTCTCTGCACGACACCTGTCAGTTTGTGAGGGGGATGTCATGGATAGAGAAGTCTATTTCTCTCACCATCTGCTCACAACTTTTAATTTCTCCGTGGCCCCGGGATTGTCACAAACTCATCTTTGAGTTGTGGAATATTGCTGGTGATAATCTTGGCATTGGATAGTTTTTGCTTTTCTGAGGGGGCAGGTGAAGCCAGATTGCATCTACTCTACCATTTTGGTGACGTTACTCCAAAAAAAAAAAAATGGACTTGTATGCTGACCTTGTTTCTATGACCTTGCTAAATTAACTTATTAGCTTTGGTCTTTTGTGTATTATTTGGGATGTCTTAAGAGAGACATTATATCATCTGTGAAAAAGGACAGTTGTATTTCTTACTTTCCAATCTTTATGCTGTTTCTTTTTTTCCATACTGTACTAGTTTCAACTGCCAGTATGATGCTGTTGAATAGAACTGACGAGAGAGAGCATCCTTTCAGATCTTAGGGGAGAAGCATTTAGTTTTTATCATCAAGTATACTGTTTTTTCATAAATAATACTCTATTATTTTAAGAATGTTCTATCTTATTCTTAATTTGTAGAGCTTATTTATCATGAACGTATGTCTAATTTTGTCACTTTTTTTTGCATTTATTAATACGACCACATTTGAAAATATATTAATGTGGTTAAAGCACATTGATTTTGTGTAGCATTTTAAGAATGCATTGCAAGATCTGATTTATTAATGTTTTGCTAAGGATTTT